TTTCAAGTGGTTAAGAAGTATTCATGAATACTGGTATAGAACATACTTGATATGTCTATAATAGATGTCCCTAGATCATCTTTATGGAAAAGACAGACATCTGCAAATTAGATCTGAGATGAATTTTAAAAGGTGATAGATCTGGATGAACATGTTTATTCTTAGTAATTTACTTAATGCTGCTGATCTTTCACATTCCTTCTTGTACAAAAAAAAAAAAAAAAGAGTACTCACTTTTCAAGGTTGTTGTAAGATTTGGAAGTAAGGTGTGACCTTATTTGCCCGCCAAAGTGAAAGCACTCCATCATGGAGGAAGTTGTACCTTGACATTTTCCATTGACTTTGCATACTAGCTATTGTTAATGCAACCACTATTTCTCATCTAAACAGGATCCTACATATGTACCTGTAAAAATTCAGTAAACCCTAAATCTTGGGAGGAACTACATGTATAGTACTAAAGTCCTTTAAGGAATGTTTTTTTAATTAGTAAAAGATGGGAAAGATTGACATCTAGTGGCTCTCTAACAGCATTGCACAAAAAACCTTTTCAATCCACTGCCCCTCTATGGAAGCAGACTATATAAACTGCTGGTTTATGCCTTTAATTTGCAGGTGTTCAAGTCCAGAGAAAATGCCCCTACTGAGGAATTTCCTGATCCTCAAGACCATGACTGACATGGTGAAATTTAGGGGGGGCTATTGTACAGATGGGTGAGTGTAAATAACATGTGTGTGTTTGGGGGGGCATTATGACAGAGTCAAGGTGTCTTCAACTCTTTAACATCTTCCTACTGAGAGGCAGGCTTCCTTTTCCAATGATTCTGTGACTGCTTTGATAATGGAGTAAAGTGGGAAGAAGCTTCTCCTTTGGTTTCTTGGGAACCTAAGTAGCCATGCATGACTTCTGATTGTCCTGTTAGAGAGACGGCTTGGGGAGGTCATGAGATGTCATGGAAGAGAAGCCCAGCTGCACCCATCTTTCCAGTGATCACCCACCTCAAAGTGCATAATGTGGCAAAGTGCTAGAGCTTACTAGGACAGTATAGACCGGGCTTGTCACCGGCTCTATACCACTGGATAAACCCATCAATGCTTTGACTGGGGGCAGAGAAATCAGTCAGGTCTTGCCAGTATTCTTGAATTTGGTGGATTAAGCATAACAAAATGACTGTTTTATTTCATCAAGTTTGAGGTCATTCATATGGTAGTGAATACCTTGGAGACACATAACCAAGCCACATACCAGCTGGAGCTGAATGACCTTGAACATGCTACTTAAGGTCTCTGCCTTCAGCGATCTCATCAGAAAGCTGAACATTCCTAGCGTGGGTGTTAAAAAGTAAAATATGTATGAATCAATTAGTTATGTTTGGATCAGATGTTGTTTTTATTTTCTATTGCTGTTCCACCATGTCTATACCTCATTTTACATATAAATAGTTCTAGCAGGTATGCAGGTATTTTTCATGTTTCACGTACCATCATATGGAATATTTGAAAAAGAATTTAAAATCTCATTAACTTTAGGATTTATAGTCATTTACCACTTTAATATTGATTATTGGTGAAAGTGATAATGATTCTAGTATCCTGAGTTCAAGAAACGAGTTATTGCCGTGTTGTTCATAGGTGTCTTATCTTTGACTTAGGGTTGTCCGTGAGAGTCAGAGGCAAACAAACCAACTGACTTTTTCACTGATAAATGGAAGGGACACGGTTTACCTGTACAGGTGCAAGACACTGAGCAGAAGAAATGAGCCAGCTTCTTCGTTCCTGTTTAGGCTTAGACAGTCTCAGATCTTAAAACAGAATGCTCACAGCAACTGGAAAATGCACTTTATTTTAGCTAATTTGCTCCTGTTTCTTTTAGTATATGAAATTATGGTTTGGTATTTTTGCTTCTTCAAAACAGCGTCCCGTGGCATGGTACTGATCTAACTGTAAGCTCGCAAAATTGAAACTAGCACATATTTAATAAGCCCCAAAATACAGGGATAGCCTCTGGATTGTAGAAAATGTACTCGACTGAATGAGAGCATCTACTTGAGGATGGAGAGACAGGACATGAAAGGAGCACAATTTCTGGTGCGAAATGAGAGCTGGGGTACCTGTTAATTCGACCTGCGGGCTCCTGGAGCAGGGCTGAGACCTCCATCCTTCCTTAACTTCTCTTCTTCTGCAACTCCATCCCTCCGCAGCCACTGCTCAGCGGGAATCCCCTGATGGCCCCAGATGGCCGCTGAACTGCAGCTCTGGGCCTTTCCCCTGTGGGTTAAAATTCTTGTAGAAGAATCGAGGGCATCAGACCCGCGCACACTGAAGCCTCCAGGGGGCGGCGAGGTTGGTGCTGGGGCAGAGTGCCAGGCTGCGAAGTTCAGGTCACCGGATTCGCAAATCTGGGAGGGGCAGCCGGGCGCCTTTCCGTCGGTCGGGGCGGCGAGTCGGCTGGCGGGAGTGGGGAGTGCCGACCCGGCTGTGGGGCGGGGGGCAGGGCCCCGCCGTCCGGCGCCGCCCGACTTGGCCAGGGGTGCAGCGGCGAGGGGAAGCAGAGGGATGGGCGTGAGCTGCAACGCGAGGCGTCGGCCCGCCGCGCCGGAATCTGGCCCTGGCGGGGCCCCAGGAACCGAGGGGGGAAGCAGTGCCGGGAGCCCGGGGAGCCGCCGCGCCCCTGGTTCGTGCAAATCCGGCCGGGAGCGCCCCTGGACGCGCCGCTCGGGGCCCGCGGTTCCTGGGTGCGCCAGGGCTGCG